AGCTGCTTTCTCTGATGCCAGGCCATTCCAATTTGGCTATGCTGATGCAGCTCATGATGTCAAGAAAAAGAAAGTGGTGGTTCTAGGAACTGGATGGGCTGGAACAAGCTTTCTTAAAAGCTTGAAAGATCCCAGCTATGATGTTCATGTTATTTCTCCACGAAATTATTTTGCATTTACTCCTTTGTTACCAAGTGTTACCAATGGCACGGTTGAAGCACGCAGCATTGTGGAGCCAATCCGCAGCATTGTTAGGAAGGTATAGATTTTCATACTAAATTTTTGTGTTCTAGTTCTACTTTTTAGGAGGCAATGCTAATTTCAAAGGTTATGGTGTTAGCTCTTAGGCATGTCTCCTCTATGTTCTTACATAGTTGGCAATGACATTTAAATTAGAAACTATGGACTGCTACAAAAGCTTGTGTATAATTGCTGGTTGATATGATTTGGAAACTTTGCAATGCATCAAAGATAAATGATCATTTACCATGTTGTGATAATAATTAATTCTGAAAAAGACATGAAAAGGGGACATTTTCATACCAAATCTTTGGATGCGTAGTTCTGCAATATGGAAGAACCAGAAAACCTTGATTCTCCTATTCCTATTGGCTGTCAGGTCCTAAATTCCTAATGAAACCTTTATAATCTGCCAAAAAGACAATTCCACTTTATATATGATTTTTCTATCTGTAGAAGTACCTATTGCAATTGTGGACTTCAATCACAGTGGTCTACCTCTTTGATAACTGCAAAGTTTGATACAATATGCTTCTTCTTAGAATTACAGTGGTGGATAAGTAATGTTTACACTTAGCCAAACCTATGTAACCATTTGAAGGACATGACAGCTATACTTGCTTTCCTGCCTCAGAAAAAATTTGATGTCCACTTCAAGGAGGCTGAATGCTACAAGATTGATACAGTAAACAAGAAGGTCTGCTGTCGCTCAACTCAAGAAAACAACTTGGGTGGTTCAGAAGAATTTACAGTGGATTATGATTACCTGGTTATAGCAATGGGTGCACGTGCAAATACATTTAACACCCCTGGTGTTGTGGAGTATGCTCACTTTTTGAAGGTAACTTGACAAGCCATAATGCCATTTAGAGAAAAAGAACAAAATGTAGGTGCGTGTCATTTCCATTATTTTGTGTTGGAAGTGAAAGTAATGACATGAATTCAGGAAGTCGAAGATGCTCAAAGGATCCGTAGAACAGTCATAGACTGTTTCGAGAGGGCAAGCCTTCCAACTGTAAGTGAAGAAGAGAAAAAGAGGATCCTGCATTTCGTAGTTGTTGGAGGTGGTCCAACTGGTGTGGAATTTGCTGCAGAGCTTCATGATTTCGTCAATGAGGATTTAGCCAAGCTTTACCCTGCTCTTAAGCAACATGTCAAAATAACACTTCTTGAAGCTGCGGATCACATTCTGAACATGTAAGGAAGGCCTCCTACAGCTAATATGCTAATTAGTCATTTGACATTATATTATTATATATATGATAAGAAACTAGTCTTGTTTTTCTCGAATTAGAAGCTAAGCAGAATGTTCTTTTTTTAAGCATGCTTATATCCAATGCTTTGCATCAGCATGCTCTGTGTTGTAACTAGTTTACTTTGTATTTTATTTTACGACGAAATTTTGGTTCAACAGTTGATTGTACTACAAAAAACAGGAGGGTGTTTAAATCATTTATGGCATAGAAGTTCAGTAGAGTATGTCAGCAATCAAAATGCAGGAGCTTGATCATGTTAAAATTACAATTCCTTGTCGCCTGCACATGTGTCTGAAAGTTACATGGATTCTCCAAATCACCTTGTTTGCTTTTGGCAGTTGTGGATGGTTTTCACAGTTCATTCCCTTTGTTTTATCCAGGTTTGATAAGCGAATTACTGAATTTGCTGAAGAAAAGTTTCAGAGAGATGGAATTGATGTAAAAACTGGATCGATGGTTGTAAAGGTATCTGATAAGGAGATATCCACTAAAGAGAGGAGCTCTGGTAAAACTGTAGAAATCCCTTTTGGAATGGTTGTCTGGTCTACTGGCATTGGAACTCGACCTGTTATCATGGATTTTATGAAGCAGATTGGTCAGGTATGGCATGCGGCTCTAATCCTTCTATTTGATTTCAGAACTGTACGCCTGATTTTTCGATTTGGCACTTGAATTTCAATGCTACAAACATTTCTTACGCCAAAGTTTTTGTTATCATCTGCTATCACATATAAATTGCTAAGCTCAACTTTTTACTTTGTGTGGATGACAGACCAATAGACGCGTTCTGGCAACTGATGAATGGCTGCGGGTGGAAGGTTGCGATAGCATATACGCATTAGGTGACTGCGCCACAATCAACCAACGCAAAGTAATGGTATGCAACAATTATTTCTACTTAATTTGTTAGCATGAGCAGCAATACACAACCTGAGTCTTTGGATTTAAGTCACAGTTCACATTTCTTTAGCTGCTATTTTCGCGTCCTCCTTGACCGACTTCCTTAAGATGCATCATTTGCCATAGTATGCGAGGCCTATGGTCGAGATTACGTAGCAAATCTTTGGATACTTGTTTTGTTTTTTGAGGAAGATATCAGCTGTAATCTTTGGATTTGATCTTTTATCAGGAAGATATCGCTGCAATATTTAGTAAAGCCGATGAGAATAACTCTGGTACCCTGAAGGTAGATGATTTTAAAGGGGTTATCAAAGACATTGCTGAAAGGTATCCCCAGGTGCAGATTCATCTGAAGAAAAACCAACTAAGGAATTTTCTTCAACTACTGAAGAGTAAAGACGGCGAGGATGAACTGAACATCGAGAAATTCAAACAAGCACTTGCTGAAGTGGACAAACAGATGAAAAGTCTTCCTCCAACAGCACAGGTAAGTGGAAACTGGAAAGGATTTTTCTTCTTTTTGGGTAGTGTGGCTGATTTGCTTGAGCTTAGCTTCCTCTTTTTTTGATGTTCGGTACTCAGGTGGCTTCCCAACAAGGAGTTTATCTTGCTGACTGCTTCAACCGCATGGATATCTGTGAAAAGTATCCTGAAGGGCCAATAAGGTTCAGAGCAGCAGGAAGGCATCGCTTCCGTCCATTTAGGTAAGGATTAATCTACATATAGAACTTCAGACGATATCTTTTCTTTTTTTTTTTTTTTTTTTCGTTTTTGCAATTTGCAAAAGCTCTTAATAGGTTGATATAACAGCCAATCTTCAAATTACTGCCCTTCGTGAAGCAATAAAGTGAGAAGAACGCACTAGCTAGTTTGTCTCAGACAAGGTTTTTATGGAACCAGATCATAATAGATTTGCAACCACTGCAGTCAATAAATTTTTTTACCAAACAGTAAAGAATAATGGTCCCTGATCTTGGCTATTTTGCGTAATATCTGCTGACTTTTACGGTTAAAGGTACAAACACTTTGGACAATTTGCACCACTGGGTGGAGAACAAGCTGCAGCACAACTCCCTGAGAGGGTTTCCATAGGTCATAGCACGCAGTGGCTTTGGTATTCAGTTTATGCTAGGTAAAAATACTACTATCACTTATATGCCCGCAAGTTTTGATTTCTTTGTTCCCCTGAACTGTACTTGGTTCCACTTTGAGTTCTTTTTTCACGTTTTGCTTTGTTTCAAATCCAGCAAGCTAGTAAGTTGGCGCACAAGGCTGCTAGTAATATCTGACTGGGGAAGACGTTTCATCTTCGGAAGGGACTCAAGTCGGATTTGAAGACTGATCTCAGACATGAAACTGCAGAGAACTTTTTCACTTTCCAATATTTCTTGCTACAGATACTGAGAAAATTTTGTCATGTTGCTTCAGATAGTACCTAACTCCCCTATCGTTTTGGCAACTGTGTGTTTGGATTCGTTTTTTAAGTCATTTGGCACAGTAGTTGGCTCATCTGTTGCATATCTTTTTTTTCATATCATGATGCATAGGGCTGCAGCGAATGGCTCGAATACGAGTTCGATCAATATCAAATTCGAGTCGAGCTCGAACTCAAACTCAAAAATACCAAACTCATTAGCTCGCGAGCGACTTATAAGCTTAATTATATTTTTAAACTCGAACTCGAGTTCGAAATTTTGAACTCGTCGGCTTGAATTCATAAAATTAACTTGAGGTTCGGTTCAATTAGACAAAAGCTTGACTCGAATTGATGCAGGTAAAAGAGTAAGGCTTTTTGTCTTAAAAAACTTTCTGAATTTTAATTTACATAGAGCATTACTTTTAACATGTCAACCAGTAATCCTCATTAAAAAATCTACAAAGACAAATAATTGAAAAAATAACAATTACAAATGAGCATATTTACTTTAAGCTTCTAGACCTATAACCAGATTATCAAAGCACAAGTCACCAGCCACCAGAGATATGGAATGGTACAAACATTACGTACATCTTCAGAATCAATCTACATATGCCTGCATATCTAACAGGTTAGCAGACACACAAAATTGTACCAAGGAGATCAATGGTACCACTGCGGCCACGATCCCCAACGCTAGTTTATCATTTGAGGATAACCATGTAGCATCTTTACTCAAGATCTTGTTCACAGCACAGCAACGGTTGTTAATCCAAAGGCTAAGAGGTCCATTACAATCTTCAAAATTGCTCGAGTTCCTACTAGCCGATGAAACATTTAGCAAGCGGACAGATACAACCAGCTGTAAGTCATGTACGCCCAGATTTTCCAGACTTATAATCAAAAGAAGGAAGTCCACTTAGTGCTCTCTTTAAGCATGACAATGAGTTGAGTAAATTCATGTTATTCCATTTGTTACTGCAGTACTTCTGAACATCAAACCATGCAAAGTATCCCTAAGTATTGCAGACTCTTAACAAATCTTGAACCTCGAGATAAATGGTTTTTCAGAACATACCGTATAATGCCTTTTGACCCACGATATCCAACAAAGATGCAGAGTTCAGCAAAAGGGTTTCTCTGAGATTGCAGAGTCAAAAAGAAACCAAACATCAACTCTTTTGAGTTCATTTATCTCTTTTCCTTTTGAAGTCCTTTGAACCAACAAGACCTGAAAGACATGCATCCATCTCGTTTGAAAATTTTGTAGCTAACTTCAACTTCCCCATCTTGTTTAAGTTACTAATTAGCGAACGATAGACATAAATCGATGGGCGAATTCTTCGGTGCTTCATCTCATCAAAAAGTCTCAGTGCTTCCTCAATGTTCCCAGACCTTCCAAAGTTGTCAATCAATGGTGTGTATGTTTGCAAATCAGGTTGAACTCCTCTTTCACCCATTTCTTTAAAAAATGCTGAGCATAAATCAAGCCTACCGACTTTGCGTAAACTATTTATAATGGTATTATAAGAAATAGTATCTGGAGCAATATTGGCCTCTTTCATTTCAGCAAACTTATGAAGCATATCATCTACCTGACCACACCGGCCCAATATCACTAAAATAGTGTTATATGTAACCAAATCTGGTTTACACTTCAGATTCTTCATTTCCTCGAATATTATCAGAGCTTTATCAATCTGTCTAAACTCACCAAAGGCAAATATGATCCTGTTCAAAGTGATTGCACTTATTGGAATTATCAATTCTGAAACTTCTCTGACAAATTTCAACAAGAAAACATCATCACTTTCCTTAACCAGAGCCTTGGCAAGGATCTGACAGGAAGCCGACTTAATAGAATTACAGAATACCAATAAATCCTTGAAAGTGTGTAATAGAATATCAGTGTCATCTTGTTCACCTGCTGCTTGAAGAAGGATATTATATGCTCGAGGGCCAAGAAAGATTCGTTGCTCACGTAAAGACCGCAATAGTCTAGCAGCAGTTGTAAGGTCTCCAGCACTACATAGCTTATCAATCTTGGAGATACATATTTTCTCACAAGAAATTGCAGAGTTCTCCAACTCGGAAAGTATTTCATTCAAAATTCTATCATGCATATCATGAGAAGGAGAAGTTTGTGTTGCAATTGAACGATGACTAGAAACATAATAACTCAGAATTTGGAAGAACGGCCAAATCCAGAAGGCTCCTATTGGGATGGATTTAACAGAATTCTGTATTAGAAAGCCAGCAATTAATTAAAAACCAAAAAATAAGACATCTACCATCCTTCGCTAAAACAACTGTACAATATTGTCCCAAGCAAAGTGTGTATTGGTTAGCAACTAATAACAAATCAAAAGATGAATAAAAGGGAATGGCAGAGTTACTAATAATTGATCTACCGGCAGTCAAAAAAACAAAAATTTTTGGTTCAAACACGCTTACAGTCAGGTTCAGAAAACAAAATGAAAAAATCATACCAAAACAGACACCAGAAACCAATATCATCAGACGAGTAAGACCATCATCCCCAAGTTCAAAAATACAATATGTCCTTATACAGAGGTACAAATACCTCTACCTCTATCAGAGGCCAACTCCATCGGTACACTAAAGAAAGCAAATATCGGGATATTTCCCCATGGAACCCACTCTTCATGCTCACCCCAACAGAAGCAGAAAACAGAAAGATGAAGAGTACATAAGCAAAAGCAAAGAGTTCTCCCTAAGAACAGGTAACAATAAATCCAAAAATCATTTCCTGGTCAGGTCACATTTCATCAGATGTTTCACTCTCTCACTAGATTAACTACCCTTAGGTACCAGCCATTTCACAACTAGCAAGACAACAACCCCACCACTGTGGACGGGCTTTAAAAATTGCATCATTATTAGGTCCCAAATTTATCTCTAATCCATTAAATTCATTCCATTTAAATGTCCCTTCTCCATAGCATAGAAGAATAAAAGGAAAGAAAGAAAAAAAAAGAGTCTTTCTTGAACCAGCTAAAAGAACGCCATCATTTGTCATCAAGCTTCTCAAAAAAAAAAGAGCTGCATTTCTACTTCGGCAAAAATCTAACCATCTCCCAGAATTCTAAAGTTACAAACACATTTTATTTCCCTGGATTTTCACCATCAACTTTAGTAGCATCCTAACTTCTACCACTATCGCCAACCCAAGATTAGCAATGACATTCTCATGATTAAAATTGTGGGATTTATTTGATTTCATATTTCACTCTAAACCCCAATCTTGAAATGAGGAAATATATTATAGAAGATAATAAACAACCAAAAAAAAAGAAAAACCCATATCACATAAGTAAGTGAAAGATGAAAATTTGAGAGCTTACAACAAGATGGATTTTTCTGAACCCCTGCAGAGTGGTGAATGAAAAAGGTCTGCGGCAACTGGAACAGTAATAGTGGCGTAACAATGTTGAAACCTCAAATGGGTTTTGCGCTTGGAAATCGCAGCAGCAAACATTTTTGGATTTCGGGATTAATCGAAGAAAAAATTCGTGTTAGGGTTTAGGGTTTATGTTGACAGACAATTGAGGCATTGAAATTTGGACAAGAAGTACTGGGAGACAACTATATTAGCTATTTTGTTATTATTTTTTAAAAAAATAATCTGCACACATTTTTGGAAATGTATCTTTCTTCCCCTTTACTTTTGTGAAATAACTTTACATACCCTACTACATTTTTCATTTTTTTGAGATAGCTAATGGACGCAAGGTAACTCTTTAATTTGGATCCTTGTGTGTTTGGATAGGATGTAATCTGAGAATTTCTTTGTTGTTACGTCATAACATATTTTTTAATAATTTTTAATATTTTCATTCATTTTTTATCTCATGTATATGACATCATAAAAATTGTTATACTATTATTTTAAAAATAATCACCAATCCAACCAGATTCATTCAATCGAAAAAGTTTCTTTCGAAGAAATTCTTACCTTGCTTTTTTTTTCTTTCCGAAAGCAAATGAAGAGGTGGAGTAATACAAGCACTTAGAAATCTTTTCAAAAAATTATTGGTGAGTTTATCAAGTTCTTAATCACTCTCGCGTTTTTTTTTTTGAGATTGATAGTAACTATCAGCAATGTATACAAATTTTGGCTGTGCAAAGTGGTTAGATGTGAAAGAATAATTAGAAAAAAAATGATTAGATGCCATGTAGTAATTAACAAACTACTTTGTTTGTCTTTGGCTGATTTTTCTTATTGATTTCCAAGTTCATAAGCCAAAAAATAGCAATATTGAATTTTAGCCCTTAATTCTTCTGTGGACAGAAAGTTGTAATTTGGACCATCTCTCCCTATTGATCCTTATGTTGGTTACATGTAGATAAGACACATTTTGTGAGCTAGGATTTTCAGTTCAATTGATGCAATGCGACTGTTAGATACTCAAGAAACTAAAAAGCTTACTATCTCTTTGAAGTACATGATTATTATTTTTCTTAGAAAATACATTTTGCATTACATGCTTGACACTTGATGCTAAAGTAGTCAGCTAGAGGTGAAGAAAAAGAAAACATTCCATTCAAGCCAAGTGTTTATCACATATAATCTCAAACTCTCAATCTACTAAGTAGCTGTCAATAAAACTGCCCAAAGGAAGGAAGCATCAGGCCTTATCTTGAATCCTAATTGTGTGATAAATTCAGCAAGAAAACTGAGGAAAGATTTTTTCTATGGTAAACAATTTTTTGTCTATGGCCTTCTTGAGTACTATATGTAGGAAGCAAAAGATCCAAATGCAACACGTACACTCTTCTTGAGTTTCAGTCTTTTTGCTTCATTGCTAGAATCTCTATTTAGTGCGACTTGATATATATTTCAGTTTCAGTTTGTGCTCAATTTTCCATGCTTTAGGGGTTTCACACCTTTAAGTAATTCATCAGGTCGAATCTGATATGAAAAACAGATTCTTTTTCAGGCCTATAATTCTTGCTTAGGTTTAATGTCTGTAACAACATAATTGAAGTGACAGTTTTTCAGATTCAGTTTGATTCTGAGATCATGAACTTATCATTTTCCTGTTTGAAGTAATGGTTACATGTTCTCCAAAACTTGGTGCTTAAACTTTTCAAGTGCAGCACTGCTGAAAGCATAAGTTTGAAGACTGCAGACAAAATCACCTATCCTTTATGTCCTGAATAAAATGTATACCTATCCTTTAACTGTTGTAGCAAGGTGCATTTGTACAGGAATGCAATTAGCTACTAAATCAACTTTTCTATACATTATTTCCTCTTTTTAAGTGTTTAGGGGTGGGACACTGTGGTAGCATCACCTTTTCAACAAAAGTTGCCATAGGATTGAATATTCACTGTTCCTTTGGAAATGGAAAAGTTTGCCTTCGTTGATGCAATCTGGAATGGTCCCCTTTCCATATAATACTTTGATTGTAAAGTTAGAAACACAATGTTTGATATATGGCATGCGGTATATCTACCAGAGATCCTACTAATCTCCCACCTTTTTAGGCACAGCAAAACATGATTTTTCAAGACACAATTCAACCACAGAGCATAACAGAAAGACTTTTCAAGACTTTCACCAAGAAAACAAGACAAACAGTAGTCAGAAGATCTTAAGTGAAGCAAAACTCAGTATTCACACATAAATCCATAGAACAGCTTATTGCAGATACACCATAGATGAGAGGATTGATTCATAATCTCATGTATCACTTAGGAGTGAGCACAAGAATGCTCACCTGCTTACCAAAGTTTACAGACTCAAGCATCAATTGACTTAAATTTCATAGAACTAGAATCAAGAAATAGATTGTGGAGACTGAGAGACCTCCATGATTTTCATCATTTTTATCAGATATTTAAACCTCATCATCTGCAAAACTTAGGGCTTGGCACAATGATGATGGCTCCTCCTCTTCATCCTCAGCAAAATATTGCTTCCTTCCTATCAAGTCAGCTACCCTTTTGGCTGGTCCAGAGTCCCTGGGGGACTCATTAATGCACCTAGCAATACGAATTCTTGGAAGTATTTCAGGCACAACAGAGGTCGTTGGAGAAGAACTCTCAGGTTCAGAACTATGAACAACAAGATCAGCGGGAATTTCCCATCTCTTCTTCACCCTGCTGCTCTCGTGCCTAAATTCTTCTTTTCTGGCAGTGTTTCACGCGATTTCCCAGCTGACAGAGAGCGTTTCTTATCACATCTCTTGTTTTCATCCTTGTCATTTTCAGGCAAAGATCTCTTTCTCATTGCTGAGGTCTGACTACTACTCTGATTATAGCGGCTCGCAACAACCCTCCCTGGCCTCAATGGCTTCTTATTAGTAGCTGTAACTGACTTTTCAGCATCTTTGAACAACTTTTTCGGTTGAACAGAGTTACCAAACATCTCTTCTTTCTTCACAGTCTTCTTTGATGCAACTGTGGTGACTGCCTGCCTTGAACCCTGAGTTTTTCCTGCTAAATTTTTTCTTGATTTCGGACTAACACTCAAGCTTTTTCTCCTTTCTTTAGTCACCTTCTCTTCTGCAATATCTTGCAGCTTCCAGAAACACGATTTTCGCCTACTCTGAATAGGCTGAACAGGGGTAATCGTACTCTCTTTTTTACCAAATTGCCGGGATTTGACATCAGAAAGTATCTCAGATGGTCCCAAACTCATACCCCTTCTTGCCCCAGCCATAATCTCTGATGGACCCAAACTTAGCCCTCTTCTCTGAACCTTGGTTTTCGCACTCGTAGCCAAACTTTCTTCAATCTTTTTCTTCTCCTCTGCATTCTTTCCAACCAGTTTTCGATCCATAAACTTTGCAGCCACAATCCTTCCTTTCTTTTCAGACATTTTCACACTTTTCTCAGCCTTTTCAATCTTCAAAGCCTCTAATCTTGAAGAAAGCCTGCTGATTTCCATCTCAATTTCCTCAATTTCCTTATCAATCTTCTTCTCATCATGAACCTCCCCTTCATTGTTACTCCTCAAAATCGGCTTTTCTGCAAAACCCTGGTTATAATACCCCTTAATTGACTTTATTCTTGAGCTGTCAACCGGCCCATTCGGATCAAGAACCTTGAGTGGCTGGGACATTGGAGACTTCAGTGAAGAAACAGATGAAATAGAGGAATGCTGGAACTGATGAGTCTGATTTTCATTTTCTTTACTCGAAAAAGATTCAAGTGAATCAGAAGGATTCAAAAACTGGGGTTTCAGAGGAGACCAAGAACATTTAAGTATTGCCGATGAATCTTCAGAATCTCCATTGTCGAAGGCTGCATTGTTCCATATCTGAAGATCTGATGAATTCATCTCCTCTGGGTATTGTAAAACACTCATTTTCCTCACTCGGGTTTTCAAAATCTGATGATTTCTTGTGAAAAATAGAAATGGATGGTGGGGTTTCGACGATTTCTTGAGGGGATTCTTAATGTGAATTGTAGGAGAGAAAATGGGGTAAAATAATGGAGAAATTTATGTGAGGATTTTTTTGGTTTTGTTTTTGAGTTTTCTGACCGTTAGAGATAAACTTAAACGTTGAGGCTCCGCTCCATCTTGGCCATTGGATATTAAAACGGCTGCTTCAGACGCTCCGATTAGATTTAAAGCTTAATCCGCATTGATTAGCAAAAATCAGACGCGCCGGCCAGCCTGCCTAAGAGTGGGGGCCTAATGATGTTGTGGTGTTGGGTCGTAGCAATATTGGCCTAGTCCAATTAATTGAATTTGGCCCAGTTTGTCTTCTTCAATTTCAACACACGTGAAATGAAAAATTTTTAAAATAACAAATAAAAAACAGCCTTTTCTTGGGGAAAGGAAAAAGTCAAATAATGCCATAACCAAACAAATTTTAATACATTATAGTTATCTTATTCACTATACATGCTCAATTTCAATCAATTAAGTTGCTTTTTATAAGAGTTTGACTAACGAGTATCCAGTGATATATTATTTTTTTTGTAAAAATAAATTTAGTTGAAAAAAAAAGTGTCTAAGTGAATATATGTATTGATATGATAAATTATGGTATGTAATTTAGGTATACTAGTAAATACCAAGTGAGCATGGTTAGAGAAATCCTTCTTATGTAAGTATGTGATATAATGCCACAGGATGCAAATTATATAGTTTTGTTTCTGCAAAGGTCAATGGTAGTGATCGTACGAACAAAAACATCAACCAATTCTTGTTATCTTTTGGTCAATTCTTTAATTTGTCAAAATCTCCAAAATGTATAGTTAGATTTTCCTCCAAAAGTGTAACATAATGAAAGTTGCATCATTCAAATATTATTAGAATTGTCAAAGAATTACACGAAGATAAACCCTTTTAAGGACCCTCTTTGGCATTAATAGGCTGCAAATGAAAACAACCATTACAATAAAATTGCATGCAGCGTTTACAAAATTATTTTGAAGGAAAAACCAAAATACTTAAAAAAGGGGGACGAGCTACATCATTTCAAGTGTAACCCTCCTTTATTTTTCTCCATATCATTGCCATTTTAGCAAACTCCATTCAAGAAAATAGAGAACCCTGGACACATAGCCATTGACCCACAAAGATTTTGTCGCAGTTGATATTGGGATTTATATCAAGGAATGATTGGAATTCCAGATTGAAGTTCTGGGCAACGCTAAAGCAAGTGTCGCCTTTTCCAGCTCCGTGGACCGAGTTGCAAGCTGGGGATGCTGCTTCAGCTGTCGCTAGTTTAACTTCATTATCTAGTGTTTCAAGAAAATGTCATGAGAAAATATGAATCAGATTCCAAACCCAACAAAAAAAAAAAAAAGAAAAGGCAATTAAGCTTCAAAATTGTTAATACTTACGGCCTAAATTTCTGCTTTCGGCCAAGCTGATGAGGAGAAGAATGGAGAGAAAAGTTGCCATCTTAGTCTGAGCCATTTGTAGATGTGTATAATGGTACAATTTTTTCTTCAAGCTGATATCTTGAATGGTTGATTATGGTGTGATCGCTTCTGATGATTATTCAAGGTATATATAAAGGCGCCCAACATTGGAATGACCAGTGTACCAAGCAGAAATTCATGATTATTATCGAAGAATTCTGGCCGGCTGTTGTTTGTGCATGCCACAATGTACATTATAACACAATTAAAACTAATGCCGTCCTGAGATACAAAAGATAGGCTGAGATCAAGAGGATCGAACCTCATTGATTTCAACTCATGAGTTTGAAATAGCTAGTAAACGGGTTGCCAATGCCAATAAGAGGTAATGCACAAAGGCTGGTGGGTCAACTCCAGGACAACCAACTCCCTTAGTGTTTGGTTATTAATCATGCTAATTTCGTCTTCTACTGACTCATCTGCAGTAGATGACTGTCCTTATTTTCGTTCCTTGGTCTCTTGCTTTCGCCTACGCACTACCTTCTCAATCTCAGGGTTGTATATCAATTCACCTGTCAAGAAGAACGGAGCATAAACTAGCAAAAGTATCAAAAATAATCTGAACTCAAAAAGAGAAATAATTCCAGCACCAGTCCTCTGCAACGGCGCCAAAAATTGATAGATACCAAGCATGTGCAATAATAATAAAAACCTAACTACCATAAAAAACAGTCAATAATCAATTCCAAGTATTGGAGCAGACACTCTAGATGTGCAATGGATTACTTGATTCACTCTGGTTCCGAAGAGTTTGCTTAATCCGATATATCAGAATTAATTAACTGACAAAATTTACTAACTAGTAGACAGTGACAAGTAGGGTCGTTTCCTCAGGGATCTAGAAAAAGTTCGTTCCTTTTGAGTCAAGACAAACGGGGGATTTTAGAATTAAATGTTAATGAATTGCCAACTAAATAAATTAAATGTGAAAAATAATTAATTAAGAGAAATAATCGAAGAAACTCTAGCCAAGAATACACTTCAGACATCGTTCATGCAACTGATCATCGATTCAAATATAATTCCAACATTTATTAATAGATTGATTATAGTTGTCATACACGCGATAAACAACCAACATTTTCTTATTTTTTCGATAGTTAAAGTACAACCATTAACTATTTCTCTAACCAGAAAATAACCCTAGGTATGACCGTAGGATTTAATTTTTAGATTGCATTAAGAATTAGAAAAATTCAACCCTAACTAATAAACATGCTACGAGGGTTTGTTTAAATTAGATCGTATGTTTTCCTGACATAAATCCAATTATGCCAGTTGCTACTGGGACGGAAGTAATCGAACAATTACAGATTCAACTACCTCAATTAGCAAATAACCTACGTGAATAATTAAATATTGCGCATCTATTTAATCATACACGATAGCTATAACAATTAAAAGCAGAAAACATACAAATACCAATAAATGAAGGAAACAGTTAAAATAATTTATATTTCACAGTTATTGTTGAACCAAATCTTCAGTTGTCTTCTTGACTAAAAATAAGAAGTTAGTTCTCCATTAATGGAGAACAAGCCATGCAAAATAATTGAGAAAAACCGTCAATTCTTGTCTCCCAAAATCGGTCAACAGAGAAGAAAAGAACAAGAAATATCGTTGCCTTCGTTTGTCTCTAGCAAAAGCATAAAGAGAGTCTGATGTCTCTCCAATTCGGTCAAACAGGGAAAACAAAAGAATTAGAACAAGTCAATAATTGTAGCTTTTTTTGTTGGTTTCCTCCAAGTTTTGCCAAGAAGCCAGAAAAACTCAAAGACCAAAGAAAGTACAATTTCTTCTTTGCGTTTCTAGCCACCAAAAGGTTCCTAAATCTCTCATTCTTCCTACTTTTTCTCCTAATTAATTGGTATCCAAATACCAATTACTTCCTAAATAACAATCCTATTACAATGAAACTTCTTCAACTTTTGCTCTCCTTTGGAGTGACCACTGATTTTTCAATTTGTAGCCAGCTACTTCACTCATTTTTTTGGAGCTTCCCATGTGCGAATAATCCCGAGAATCCGATCTTGAAGGTTGGAGTTAGACGTGGGCACGCCTAATTATCAGGATGTCTTTTGAAATGTTGATTTTCAACACCTTTTTTTCACTACTTCCTGCAATTAACACCAAATACACAACCTAATAGAATCCACCAAATAGTACGCATTTAGTCCAAACAACTATAAAATATCAGCGAAATAATCTACTAAAATGCACCCTATCACTTGTAGTCCAAACATCTGAAAGTGTAAAGCCAGTAGGTTAAATGGGTATTTGTGAGAAAATGAAATAAGAAACATGAAATTGCGAGGTATAAACAAGACTTGTAGCCCAAGAAAATTCACAAAGGTCTGGATTTGATTATAATAAAACGTATTCATCTGTAGTGAATGCTATCACATTTAGATATCTTGTGAGTTTTGCAGTACATGAAAACTAGATATGCGTCTAATGGATGTCGTTAATACATATTTATATGAGAATCTTGAAAATGATATTTATTTAAGAATTTTCGAAGAATTCAACATGCTTAAAACGTGCAAATCAAATTCTAAAGATATTTATTGTATTAAATTACAAATATTTTTGTATGGGATCAAACAATCTGGACGTATGTGGTATAATTGCCTCAATAAATGTTTAACTAAAGAAGGTTATACCAATAATTCAATATGTCCATGTATTTTTATCAAGAAAAATGAGTCAAATTTTGTGATAATTTCTGTATATGTTGATGATCTAAATCTAATTGAAACTCCTGAAGAGATTCAAAATAGTATTGATGAAGAAGGAATTTGAGATAAAAAAAATTTGAAAAAATAAAATTCTGCCTTGATTTACAAATTGAGCATTTGAAAAGTGAAATTTTTGTCCACCAAATTACTTATGCTCGGAAGGTATTAAAGCAATTTTGTATAGATAAGACACATACATTAAGTACCTCAATGGTCGTCAGATCATTAGATCCTAATAAGGATCCTTTTAGACCGCGAGAGGAAGATGAAGAGGTACTTGGTTCTGAAGTACTATATCTCAGTGCAATTGATGCACTAATGTATCTTGCTAATTGTACAAGACCTGATATATCATTTACAGTGAATTTATTAGCAAGATTTAGTTCATCGCCCACAAGACGACATTAGAATGGTATTAAACATATTTTTCATTATCTCCAAGGAACAATTGGTCTTGGCTTATTTTATTCAAATAAATCTAAGTTTAAATTGCTTGGTTATGCTGATGCTGGATATTTATCTGATCCGAATAAAGCAAGATCTCAAATTGGTTATCTATTTACATATGGAGGTACAATCATTTCTTGGCGATCTACTAAACAATCATTAGCCGCCACTTCATCGAATCATACTGAAATAATAGCAATTCATGAACCACTCGTGAATGTGTTTGGTTAAGATCAATGATCCACTATATCCGGAAGAATTGTGGGTTATCCTCCAAAAAAGAAAATTCTCCAAATATATTATATGAAGATAATGCAACTTGTATAGCTCAATTAAAAGAAGGATATATTAAAGGGAATAGGACGAAACATATTTCACCAAATTTTTTCTACTCATGATTTGCAAAAGAATGGTGAAATTGATGTGCAACAAATCCAATCAGATAATAATTTGGCAGATCTATTTACCAAGGCATTGCCGACTGCAGCATTTGAGAAATTGGTGAAGAATATTGGAATGCGATAATTAAAAGATTTCAAATGATATTTGCATAAGGGGGAGAAATTAATACACAAGAATAGTGTACTTTTTCCTTCATTAGGGTTTTGTCCCGATGGATTTTTCCCTAATAAGGTTTTAACGAGGCATATTCTTTGTATAATGGACATCCAAAGGGGAGTATTATGAAATAATTAAAGTGTGGATGTCCATTTGTATTCTCCAGAGGACTAATTCATAATTCATTGATCACAAGGAGATTAATTCATAATTCATTACTACATTATGTAGAGGAATTACAATGGATGAACGGTTTCAATCTATAAAACTCATTCATGTATTGGAAGAACCGTTTTACAGACTATTTATATTCTTGTAGTAATGAGTGTTTAATAGAATTGATGTACCTTTAATTTTATAGTACCTATATATAAAGGTACCTTGGCACCTCTTAGGATTACCTTTTGTATTAGTTGGAACAATAAGAAAATCATTCTCCATTTCTCTACTCATTTCTCTAGTATCTCAATTCCTATTATAGTAGTTCATTTTATTAGTTTTATAACAAAATAATGCCATAACCAAACATATTAATATATTATAGTTATCTTATTCACTATACATGCTCAATTTCAATCAATTAAGTTTTTTTTATAAGAGTTTGACTAATGAATATCCAGTGATATTTTTTTTTGTAAAAATAAAGTTAGTTAAAAAAAAGTGTCTAAGTGAATATATGTATGATATGATAAATTATATGTAATTTAGGTATGCTAGTAAATACCAAGTGAAATCCTTCTTATGAACATACATGTCTTGGATAGTTTATTTCTTATGTAAGTATGTGATATAATGCCACAGGATGCAAATTATATAGTTTTGTTTCTGCAAAGGTCAATGGTAGTGATCGTACGAACAAAAACATTGACCAATTCTTGTTATCTTTTGGTCAATTCTTTAATTTGTCAAAATCTCCAAAATGTATAGTTAGATTTTCCTCCAAAAGTGTAACATAATGAAAGTTGCATCATTCAAATATTATTAGAATTGTCAAGAATTACACGAAGATAAACCCTTTTAAGGACCCTCTTTGCATTAATAGGCTGCAAATGAAAACAACCATTACAATAAAATTGCATGCAGCGTTTACAAATTATTTTTGAAGGAAAAACCAAAATACTTAAAAAAGGGGGACGAGCTACATCATTTCAAGTGTAACCCTCCTTTTTTTCTCCATATCATTGCCATTTTAGCAAACTCCATTCAAGAAATAGAGAACCCTGGACACATAGCCATTGACCCACAAAGATTTTGTCGCAGTTGATATTGGATTTATATCAAGGAATGATTGGAATTCCAGATTGAAGTTCTGGGCAACGCTAAAGCAAGTGTCGCCTTTTCCAGCTCCGTGGACCGAGTTGCAAGCTGGGGATGCTGCTTCAGCTGTCGCTAGTTTAACTTCATTATCTAGTGTTTCAAGAAAATGTCATGAGAAAATATGAATCAGATTCCAAACCCAACAAAAAAAAAAAGAAAAGAAAAGGCAATTAAGCTTCAAAATTGTTAATACTTACGGCCTAAATTTCTGCTTTCGGCCAAGCTGATGAGGAGAAGAATGGAGAGAAAAGTTGCCATCTTAGTCTGAGCCATTTGTAGATGTGTATAATGGTACAATTTTTTCTTCAAGCTGATATCTTGAATGGTTGATTATGGTGTGATCGCTTCTGATGATTATTCAAGGTATATATAAAGGCGCCCAACATTGGAATGACCAGTGTACCAAGCAGAAATTCATGATTATTATCGAAGAATTCTGGCCGGCTGTTGTTTGTGCATGCCACAATGTACATTATAACACTATTAAAACTAATGCCGTCCTGAGATACAAAAGATGGGACTGAGATCAAGAGGATCGAACCTCATTGATTCAACCCATGAGCTTGAATAGCTGGTAAGCGGATTGTTATTACCAATAAGAGGTTACAAGTTTGGGTCAGGCTTTCACCCCTAATAAATTTTGGTAATTGTATTTATTTTAGCATTGTGTTATTTATCTGTTTGTTTGACTTAAAGTCTAATAAATTCAACAAAACCACAAGAAGTAAACATTCATCCAACAGGAAAAATTTCAAGGATGTAAACTAAATATTGACTTTCTTTAACTTTGTTTTAGCTTGATATTTTTTATAATTGATACGATAGAGAAGATATAAATATTTTAACAATAAAAGAATAATGTTAATTTATAAATAATTTTAGGGTTAATCACATTTTATCCCCTTAAAGAATACCCATTTCTCAGTTTACCCCATAACCTTTAATTTTGCCCACTTAACCCCCTTTAGAACAAAATTGCTCTTGCATTATTTTGAATTTTCATTTGCCTTGTTTTCCTTTCTTTTATTTCTTTTTCTTCTTTCTTCTTTATTTAATTCTTCATCTTTCCTATAAAATCTTCACTTAATTATTAAAATTAAAAAGAGGAATTGTAGAGATCTATCTTCTCTCAAATGATTTAAAAAAATATTCAAATCACTTTCCTAAAATACAATTTTTTAGCATTTCAATTCTTTTAATTTTGGGTTTCCTCTTTCCTTTTTAGTTTCTAATTTTATTCCAAGAAATACCTTAAGATGAAATTGTGACCTGATTAATTATTATCAATTGAAATTTGTGACACGTGGCATCATACAAAAAATCAAAATTAGTTTTTGATGCCTTTTAAAACTTTCACCCAGAAATATGCAATTACAACTCAAAACAAAAATTTTCGTTGAAATGGAATTTCTATTGGGAAGGATGAAAGAGAAAGAGAAAAAGAAATAGAAATAAAAGAAAGGAAAATAATTTCATCTTATGATATTTTCTTGAGAATAAAATGAGAAACTAGAACGGAAAAAGGAAAACCCAAAATTAAAAGAATTGAAAAGCTAAAAAAAATTGTATTTTAGGAATGTGATTTGAATATTTTTTAAATCATTTAAGGAGAAGATAGATCTCTGCAATTTCTCTTTTTTAATTTCAATCATTAAGATGAAGATTTTTGTGGGAAAGAGGGAGAATTAAATAAAAAAGAAAGAGAAAAAGAAATAAAAAAGGAAAACAAGGTAAATGAAAAGTCAAAATAATGCAAGGGCAATTTTGTCCTAAAGGGGGTTAAGTGAGCAAAATTAAAGGTTATGGGGTAAAGTGAGAAATGGGGTATTCTTTAAGGGGATAAAATGTGATTAACCCATAATTTTATGAATAAAAGGGCAATAATAATCTTTTTTCTTTTCTAACTTTGACTAATCTTCACAGAGGAAAAGTGTACATATTTAAAATTAGAGGGGGCACAGCATCGTTACCCCTGAAGTTCGAGGGGTAAGGTGCTATTAATTGTTTTCGATGTTCTCTAAATGCCGTCCCAACAGTTCAACTTACAGAACATAAAGAAATTGCTGCACCGCTCTTGAGGCAATAGTGTCCAATATATACTAAATTTATCCAATACAATCTCCAATTTAAACAATTAAAACCACCACAAATGAACCACTTCATGAAAGTCTCTACCCCATTATTCATCTAGTCATCCAAATCCTTCTAGATTCTAGCCATTCTCCATGATACTCAAATTCTCTGTGTGAGGGCAAAAGTCAAATTTACATTACTGTTCATGTTTAGGCCTGTCAACGGGTCGGGTCCGGGTCGGAATGCATACATTCGGACCCGGACCCGTTATACTAGATTAATTCCGGATTCGACCCGAATATCCGACGGATCTTCTAATCTGTCACCGGACCCGTACCCGACGGGTCCCGAATCCGGAAGCAGGAAAAGAAAAGGAAATGGCAAACAACCCAACGAAAATGACCTACAAGAAGGACCTAATTGACACTTGGAACAGGGACTAAAAAGACACAACCAACCAACAATAAAGAAAGGCAAGACTGGCAGAAGTAACAAAAACACAATCCTCTTCTTTTTACACGATCTCAAGCTCTTTTATTTATTTGTCTCCCTCCCGCTGCTTCCAACTTTTTCTGCCGCAAACTCTTACTGATCAACAGCCAATGGAACAGCTTCAGCCTGGAACCCAAAACAGAGAACACGATTGTTAGAAGAAATGCTTTTGAAAGAGGAGAGCTGAACAATGCAGATTCATCAACTCAAGACCAGATAACTTACCAACTTGCGATACTTGAGAGCATAAAACATTTCCAGATAACGGCGGATCTCCTGGCGATCAAGCTTGGAAACACATTTCCTGAAAAATTGCAGATCTAGTGAATGGTGAGTGGTGGTGGTGGAGGCGTGACTCAGGAGTTGGGAGGCAGAGGAGAAAAATGGTCGCTGGGGCTGGGTAAAGAGCAAAGGAAAAGAGAGTGCGGCGGCGGTGGGTTACGTGGGTATTAGACTATTAGGGATTTAGGGTTGAACAAAATTGAGTATATATTTTTAATTATTAATTAATTAAAAAACGGGTTCAGGTCCTATGCGGGTCGGAACGGCATATTTCGTATCCTATCCGCAAATCTATTAGATTGAACGGGTCCGGGTCCGGGTCCCGAAACTATATGTCTACCCGTACCCGGCAAATATTGACGGGTCCGGGTCCAGACCCGAACCGTTGACAGCCCTATTCATGTTGACGAGTCTACAATTGGATGAAACCACGAAGGATGCTTGTTCCCTATGCAACAGCTACTCTATGAAGGATACTTGTGCTTTACCCCCTCAGCAGAATTTATCTTCATCTCTTCCCAGGAGCAAGAAATTTGGCTACTCACAAAGGCATGGCTCATCATATTTAAATTTGACTTGTGAATGAAACCAAACTTTCAGAACAGAGACTCCAGTTATTGCTGAATATATAGTGCACTTAAGAGTTTCCTTTTGAAACTTACACCTTATTTCGACTAATTTGCCCACTGATAGTATTCTGATGCAGCTGAGAAGGAACAAAGATTCAAGATATGACTTGTGCATCCACGAGCTTTCAACCCAATTACGGGCAAAGAATCATCCAAAGCTTAAAATTTTCAAAAAGGATGCGAACAAATGAAATCCCAGATATCAGCACAAATTAAAAGCTAAGGAATTTTTCCCCTTTTACTCTTCATCATATAATGATGAAATACACCCTTTTGATATCAGGATAGTTCTGAAAATAAAGGGCAGTCAAAATTTCATTCTTTTCCCCATCTGAATGATAAATTGCCAAGCAGTAAATCATTTTTCTTGGGTATAGTTACTTACATGGACAAGTTGGATTTGGGTTTCTATCGGTGCTTAGATCATGCCTTTATTATGCACAGTTGATGTATTAAGCACGTTATCAATCGTGTTTCCAAATTAGCATTTTTATTTTTGGTAGGAAAATTTCATGAGTTCAAGTCTCAGCTATGCTCATAAGTCCTCATGAATCTCAACAATAAGCAGATCATAGAATGTCTGACTCCATTTTTTTGTCAAAGGGGAAAAAATAAAAGGAAAACAGACAGTGTGCTTCATTGAGTTTAACAAAGCTGAAAGTAAATTGATAATCGGTAACAAAATGCACATTAACTTTTATTCATATTTTGGTCCTATACAGAAGCCTATTACCAGGATGGAGCACTCAGGGATGATTCATTGAGGGTTGAATAAGGCATTTGCCTTCTAATACTTAACTTTATTTTTTCTACATCAGTCTACTCCTTAGTTAGCTAGAGCTAAGCAAGGGATGCTGATAATAAATCAAGCTATTTCCTGGACAAGACTTGATGCTAGAAAAATCCAATTAATAGCTGTCGCGAATGTCCATTGCTTCAAAACTTAGCAAACATTTTGGCTTTCAAAGCCTCCGAAGTACCTATATGCTACTTCCTTAGGGAAAAGCACAAGGCAAAGGATATATGGAATTGTCAGGCAGAAGATGAAGCACAAGAAAGCTATCTGGAAATGAAAGAATTTTTATAAAGAAGGGAAATGCTACTCATTTCCCTCAGGAAATGTAAGCGTGGCAAAGAGCATTGATAAATTATAAATGGACTTTCTTTGGGAAAGATCCAGCAAAGGCATAAATCCACTGAGTCTCGAGGTAATGGAATCAAATTCACTTAGGTATTACGGTTGATGAATTTGGAGTTATGTCAAGGAAATATTCTTCTGAAACAGACTACTAATCTGTGAAAAGCCTAATTCAGCTATGCACGCCAAAAATACTCTACTGATGAGAATTCAAAATTTCTGATAAAAATATGTTTTAACACTATACCCAAGTATTCGTGTCTAAACCATTGTCCATGTATCTTTTACTTGGACATTGGCAAACTTGAAACCTAGATGCATACATATGTCCAACACTCAGACCATGTAACATAGGTGACCACCTCAGCCCACATGAGAGGGGAACGAAGAAGAACAAGCTGGTGATGCTCAGGGACAATACTCGTGTAGACCTACACAGGATAGTTCATGAATACCGCATATAAGTGAAAGTCATTCCCTGAAACTGTTACATACATGGGGTTGTTCTTCACGTGGTTCAGTGCAATAACATTCACTTAGGAGTGTTGTCAAAAGGTATCAGCATGAAATAGTAGAAAATGAATGTGCCTTTCCCAACAGGGCAACAATGATATTGTACAACAACTAACCATTAGATGGAGTTGCAATAGAAGCGGGCAGGCATCCAGAATAGGAGTAACATGAAATAAATCAAATTTAGAATCAAGTCCCATCAGCAAATATAACTGCCTCAGTTTGCTGAACATATTCATCTTCAGTGGTATGTGTTGTACCTATGCCAAAACAAGTAAGGAGGAACGTATCCGGTTTTTACATAATGAAATAAAAGGCTAAGAGCGAGAGTAGACATAACATGTACAAACCTTATCAGTTTCTGTTTGGAAAAGTAAGTTTTCTAGCCGAGGACTATGCTTTGCAACTTCACCAATCATGCAAGGAAAGGCATTGCTGCCGTTAATGCCAGCATAGATGTTTTTTTAGCTCAGGAGTGAATATCTTATCATGCCTTTGGCACAACAATCAAAAGTTGTTAGATTGCCAGCACAAAGTTCTATCTCTTTTACTTTGATCACAAGAGACTTCAGCTGGAGACATTCACCAGAGATACACAACTTAGAAGGAAGTTTACAATGTCTAATATTCAACAAAAGAAAAAAAGACCGGTTGGTGAGGTTAAAAACAAGAGTGAGTGAATGCTAGTTAGTGCTTAGTAGAGGCTCTCCTGTTCCCTCTCCCTGTGTCTCACATCGTTTGTTGAGTGTGTGTGAGTAGTGCTTAAGTTCCATGGATGCAACTAAGAGTCAGCAATTGCCTTTTGGCTGTATCTTGTGGGGTTAATTTATGTGTTGCTTATGAACTTCTTGTCAAAAAAAAAACATCTGAGGGTTCAAACAAGAAGATAAAATGGTCGGTACTTCTCCATTGCCCACAGGAACCAGAAATAAGTTAAGGACTTTTAGAGAGTTAAATTGGCCTTTGAAAACCTGGTTGAAGGGTACAAAAACTCAAAAAAAACCATTCCACTGCGGGTGCTTCAAAAAGAAGTTGAAAAGGGAAAGCAAACAAATCAATCACTTTACCCTCTTGGATCGCATGATTCTTCTCTTCAGCTGATATATGGTGAAAAGGGGAAGCAAACAAATCAATTTATCTTAAATATATAAATGTTTATAACTAAAATTGAAAAAGTGTTATATTAATATTTTTACGGAAGAGAGATTGGTAAAATTAAATATTTGAAAGTAAATACAAATCTGTATTTGAGCGTAAATATTTGTATTAAATTAAATGTTTGAAAGTAAAATAACCGTAAAGAACCGGTATTTTAAATAGTTATCGGCTCTTTATGGGCAAACACGCATTACTCATTTAAAGTACCGACTTTTTACGAGTATTTTACTTTCAAACATTTAATTTATGATAAATATATCAATGTTTGTAAGTAAAATTCAAAAAGTGTTACAGTAATATTCTTGCAAAAAGGAAATCGGTAGGTTATTTATTTAATATAAATTAAATATTTTTTAAAAAAAGAAATGGGCCATAAAGTATTAATTCTTTATGACTTTCATATATTACATGAGTAAAGTATTGGCTCTTTATGGGCATTTTATTCTAAATCATTTAATTTATATTAAATACATAAATGTTTGTAACTAAAATTGAAAAAGTGTTATATTAATATTTTTACGAAAGAGAGATTGGTAGATTTTGTATTTAACAAAAATTAAATATTTGAAAGTAAATATAAATCTGTATTTGAGCGTAAATATTTGTATTAAATTGAATATTTGAAAGTAAAATATCGGTAAAGAGCCGGTACTTTAAATAGTTACCGGCTCTTTATAGGCAAACACGCATTACTCATTTAAAATACGACTTTTTACGGGTATTTTACTTTCAAATATTTAATTTATGATAAATATATCAATGTTTGTAAGTAAAATTCAAAAAGTATTACAGTAATATTCTTGTAAAAAGGAAATCGGTAGGTTATTTATTTAATATAAATTAAATTAAAAAAAAAAAAAGAAATAGGCCATAAAGTATTAATTCTTTATGGCTTTCATCTATTACATGAGTAAAGTATTGGCTCTTTATGGGCATTTTATTCTAAATCATTTAATTTATATTAAATACGTAAATGTTTGTAACTAAAATTGAAAAAGTGTTATATTAATATTTTTACGGAAGAGAGATTGGTAGATTTTGTATTTAACAAAAATTAAATATTTGAAAGTAAATACAAATAGGTATTTGAGCTTAAATATTTGTATTAAATTAAATGTTTGAAAGTAAAATACCCATAAAGAACCGATACTTTAAATAGGTAATGCATATTTGCCTATAAACTATACTCCTTAAAGTTTATTAATTGTTAATTTATTTGTAGTACTTTGTCATTCATTGGACATGTAATACAAATGACAAATTTGGTAAAAAATTCTAATTTCACTCTTAAAACAATATTTTAATTGTTTGGACTGAATTTACAAAGGATTAGTAATCTCAGGGGAGGTCAGTGTAATTTTTCAAACCACATGAGAGGTCAGTGCAAATGTCAGAAACCTCAGGGGAGGTTTATGCAATTATCCGTTATTTTTAAGCAAAGAGAAAAAAGAGAGTAACACTTAACTACCTGAAAAAAATTAGTGAAGTAATTAAATATGAATATTAAGTGGGGAACATTTTGAAAATCATTTTTTTAAGCAAAAGGAAAAGGAGAGCAACACTTAACTACCCGAAAAAATTTGGTCAAAGTTGTCACTATATATTGGATAAC